GCATGAAAGATGTCAGAGAAGCATGACAGATAAGTCACTGCACCTTTCAAGCAGTTATAACATCCTTCTATTGTTGCGCTTGGTATGCGACATTGAAATTGGGCGTAAATGAAGCGGATGTCGGAATTACTCGCGTTGACTAGCAAGGCAACTTCTGCACTTGCCTCTATTGTTCGTATTGTTAGTCTATCAGATGTGTTTTCGACATTCATGAGTGCGTTTGGCATTCTAATTGGTGGAATTTGACTCAGTTTTAATGCTTGAGATAGGTTGTTATGTATGCAGAAACAGTTTACGCTATTTTCCGCGGGTGGCAAGAACAGGTGTCGCGAATAGTGCATTCTTTTCCCTGTGTAGTGATGAATCATTCTTGGCATCGACGCAGGCGTAGCTAAAAGTGTGTTGTTGTTTTAATCGTGCTGTCATTCTCGAGTTTCCAATGAACGAGTCTCCTAGAAACGGCATTGTCGGTATTTGTATTGATGTTATCTTCATGCTCATGTCGTTGAAATTTTTGCGAACATTCTGCTCGAATTCCATTGTGTAAGTCCTTGGCTTCTGACGGAATTTAGCTTGAGCAACTGAAAGTGCCACTTTTATTGACCAAGTAGGGCAGTGGAACACTTCGTAAAATTCTTTGTCTGTTGGCACATGGTAAATGCAATGGAAAAGGCACCCTGAGGACGGGAATCCACAAAAGCATCAGGTTTTCCACAGGATTCTGTGCAGTACGTTATTCCGGTATAATTATTTGACATAGCAAGTTCCTCTATTATTGAATCTGGAGCGACTTTGGCACATTTTGATCCCGAACATGAACCCATATATGGGCAACGCTTGCTATATTGTACTCGAGTTTCTGTATTGCGAGTGTAGGAGAGGGTCTCTTTATTACACCTTAAGATGACCTCTTTCAAAAGAAATTTTGTCTGTGATATCGTATCGTGATGTTTTGTTGTTGAACGTAGAAACAAGCTTCTCATTGCAGTGAATATTTATCTTCAATAGTAATGCATGCTTTTTGGTGCAAGTGCTGTTGAGTGACATTGCGTTATGTCGGATTGAAGTGCGATTGTTTGCTGACACGCAGACACTCTCACTGTTGCTGTGTTGGTGGATATCATTGCTATGGCGAGGATTTTAACTAGAGCTGATGGCTTCCATTTTTCTTTTGCACGCCCACGCACTTCTACTAGTGAAATAGTTTCATTGTTTGACTGGTCGTTCCTACTATTCTAACATGCTTGCACGAGGCGCAGTAAAAAAACTGCCAATATTGTAAACACATGTGCAAAAGCAACGTCGTGTTTTGTTGATGCAGTAGAGGGATAGAGTTATGGTCCTCAATGTTGAACAAGTGAATATTGCAATGACCAGTATTGTAGTTCTCGGCCAGCAATGAGGGTCACCAATCATGACATTGCAAAATGTGCACTTTATTTGTTCGCAGAATGGGTTTGGGGGGCAGGGCCCGGCGGTAGTGGCGCTTTCACGAGCTGGAAATTGTTTTTGGCCCGAAAAAGCAAAGGGAAAGTCGTATTTTGGGGTCCGGGGCGGAACCCCGGATTCCAAAATACGACTCCCCCTTATTTACCGATAAACAATGCACATATCAGTCTTTATTCATCATTCCTTGTTGATGCTACTGTCCTATGAAGTTAGATTCCAGCACTGTGAAGATTCTGTGCTCCGTCGTTAGCCTGCCCGCAGGTGGGAGTTCAAATCGCAATTCTTGTAAGAGGAAAATAACAAAATAGGCTCGTTTTCAATGCACAAGTAACGATATGGCACCAAATTTGCTGTGTAATTGGAGGACAATGAGCACAAAAAATATGAAGAATTATGAGAAACTTATGTAAATTTAAAAAATGGTAAGTGTTTTTCTAAATTAGATGGCTCCCGCGCCACCTGGGAGCCACCTGGGGTGGCTCCTTTACATAAATGTGGACTAGGCCGAGAGTATTACTATATGTTCAAATCCGCTTCCAAAACCACCAAGGCAACGCTTCGATACAGCCCCAAATAGGGTTCAGCGTTATGATCGGCTTCTGAAAGCGCGCTCCAATCGCAATCGGTTATTGTAAATTGTAAAGTTTCGCAGCTGACCAGTAAATGAGTAGCATCTTAGATATATAAACGTCAAAGTTTGTGCAAATTTTGACCCTATGTTTTTTTATAGATTCCTTTGCGGAGGGCTGGACCAGGAAAGCCAGGTAGTACTACTATAATAAGCGCTGAGCGCCCATCTTATTATTTGTGTATATCTGTTTGTCAGGGACTTACGGGGGTCAAAATAGGGCAAAGGGGAAGTCGTAAGAAATTTTGGCTTCAAAGGGGATATCGTTTTCAAAATTCTGAAATGCCACCTCCTGCCGGGCCCTGTTTGGGGGACATGTGAATTGAAAGGCTTGCGTCATGTCTGGTACCAAAGTTTTGACTAAAACATTGTGTCGGTGTAATATCACCTCTGGTGGGAACTGGACTGTCACATTATCTTTTGGATTATTTACTTTCACACAGTGATGTTCGCCGCATATTTGTATTCTTTGTGCTGTCCCTACTCCGTGTATATTTACGCCGCCACGAATGCATTCTGTTTTAATCGATGAAACGGTTGCTTTTTGTGCTTTGCTTTGGTGAGGGAAAAATGAGTAATGTCATCGCAATCCATGCGTACCATTTGACCTTGAACGGATTCCCAACACTTCTACTTTTTGTGTTGTACACATAATGCACATTTTCTTTCGCCTTCCTAGGCAATGAAAGCCGCGTCGTGTGTCTTTGGTCTTCGTCGTTGCTTTTTGCTTCGTCAGCATTAACATTTGCTTCCTCGTTTGGTGATGACTCATCGGTCTGAGATTACTGTGCGTTTGTTGGTTCTAGCTATCTAATTCTAACGGTACTAACTTGTTTATCGAGCTCGTAAGTCTTGCTCTTTAGGCTGCATTCATAGTGATTTCGTAATCCGGGAACAGTCTCAGCACAACGCTAACTTTGAGCGCTGTGCTGGAACTCCCGAACTTCGGGATCAGTATGAACGCAGCCTTACGCTGTACGCAACCTCACTTCTCGTATCTCCCCATCGGGATCGTATTTGACTGTTTCGACAATTCCCATAGTCATGACCCTCTGTTCGTATTTTCACCCGTTATGAGAACAACTTCGCCTTTTGCAGGGACTTTTCTGGTGAATGATTTTTGCCGGATGCGTTTTTGGTGAAAATTTCGCAGTTTTAATAAATATTGTGCGGTACACAACGACCATAGGTTGTCCAGATATTTTATAGTGCTCTTTAGTTTTTGAAGTGCTTCTTCTTTGGTTGTAACTTACAACTTGTAAGTACTTCTATGTAGTCTTCGCCGTCCTCTCCAACATTAAGCGATGCTAGTATGTTTTGTGTCGATTGCGGCATGAGGAAATCGATAGAACGCACGATCAGTGAGTCTTCGAGTGAACTGCCGCAGTATGCAAGGAAGCGAGAATTTATTATCGCTTCCTCAAACAGTCGACGGCATACCTCCGGAGCAAAAATGGCAGAGCCGCGGGGTTTCCCCAGCTCAGGATTGCCACTCGTGCTCCGGAGCCCTCCCATTTGTGCTCCCGAGACCTCCCATTTATGTTCCGGAGTCCTCCCATTTTGTGCTCCAGAGACCTCCCATTTGTGCTCCAGAGCCCTCCCATTTTGTGCGCCGGACCCCTCCCATTTTCTGCTCAGCAAGTCTGCCGCGGCATACTGTAACTTGCCCTAATTGAGCTCCAAACCCCAATTATGTCTCTAAACCCCACCCAAATTAGCCGAATACGACCCCCCCCCCCCGGGTAGGACCTCAGCGCGACCCTCACCCCCGTACTCTACCCCCTCCCTCTCATAGCGTTTGTAGATAGAAAATAGAAGAATGAAGAGACAAGAATTTATTTCAAATTGACTGCAAACTATCTACTGCAAACTGCATAGCCACATAATGTCTTCCCATAGCTACTTTGCTGAATGCAACCAGCATTAATCCAACGGCAGCAAACCGGTACTGGAGATAAAATGCGACACTGGAATAATATTATCAATTGTATTTTCCTTTGGCATTTGTTATCCCAAAAATGTTGCCACATCGGCAAATGCACTATAAACTCCCACAAAAACTAATGAAAAACTGTACCTGGCCGCCTTCCGAAGCGATTACCAAGAAGCGGAAATAACACAATAAGTGGTGCATTGAAAGTAGAGCGACAATGATAATTTGATCTGCGCCTATAGATGGCATCAATGTAGCTAGAGCAGAGCTGAGGAGACGTCCCACCATCATTGGAAAGATGAAGTAATCCAGTTGAGCACCAGTACGTGGGCTGACGCAAATCTGTAAGAGTAGCATTCCTGAAAAGTTGAGGCATTGCAATCAAAAGCAAAAGGAAGTTCAGAACCAACATCTTGAACTACTAAAGCACTTCTTCAGATCGTCTTCCTAATGAAGCAAAACACACGGACAACTTACTGATAATAAAATGCAAAGATGCTTTTTCCTTAATTTCATGCCTGTTCTAAGGATGAGTGGTAGGTGAAGAAACACTCATTTTGGTTTTGACGTTAACGCACCTCAATGTAGAGAAAAACCATCAAAGCAAATGTTGTCATGCTCCCTGATAGGAAAACGAGTCCAACAGATAAACTCGCCAACTTCACCATGAGTAGCACACTTCCTAGCACAGAAAAAAATAAAACTACACAGCATCCATTGAGAGAGTAAGCAATAGGGCCCCCGAATAACAATATTTTGAAAAAAAACCTCACGCTTTTTCAAAAAAAAAGATAATAAAATTCGTAACCTACAGTATCATTACAGTAATTCATGCAGAGCAACAACAAGATAGTGCCTCAAAAGAAGATTACCACTCTGCTGCGCAGTGAACATTACGGCACTTAATTCAACTAGGCCAATAAGAAATTAAATAAGGAAAAATAAGTACCGCGCTTAAAGAAAGGTTCTCATCTTCCAGAAACAAGGCAATTACTTGTAAAAATGCAAGGCGAATTCTGCATCCAGCGGTGAGCCGGCGATGTATGGATCAAATAACTATAAAAAGAAAAACACTGCTTGTGAAAACGGCAAATTTTAGCCATTTACCCTTGTTAATTTGATGTCACTACTTAAGCTGCACGGTATGCAGCAAAACACTATCATCAGGACGTAGAAGACGACAGCAATAGTGGTGAGAACGGTTGTAGCCCAAATATTTGCAGAGGACGGGTGCGATAGGGATGGGTGTGGGGACGACAGACGTAGAAAGACTGAATATAACATCTTGCTTAAAAATGCATAGGAAGTAATATTAGATAAAATGGAGAAGGTTAAACAAGTTTTATGTCACCACACCTGCTGTGTAAACGCGGAAAAACAGCAGTAAGTCTAAACGAGAGCCAAGCACTAAAAGTGACTAAGTGCATCCGCACGAAAACTAGAACTGAAACCTGAAAAGAAGGAGATGAACAAATAAACGCCAACGCGCCGACGAGTAACACGAAAAATCAAAAAAAAAAAGAAAAACGAGCGCGAAAGAACGAGAAGAAAATGGTAAGTCGAGAGCGACGGCAGTTTATTTTCGAAAATGCTAAGCTGCGTATTACAGTAAATTGGCTGCGTACCTATTGTGCTCCGGATACCTCCCATTTTCTGCTCCGGAGGCCTCCCATTTTGTGCTCCGGAGGTGTCCCAAATGTGGACTGCGCGTCCCGGAGAAAGGTCCCATTCGCCTGCTTGTGACGTCACCGTGACCTACAAGAAGGGACCGCCCCCTCGCCCCTCTCTCATTGGGCAATTGGGTCCTTCACGGCTCTGCCAGATTTCGACTGTCCGCCGCAACTACGGCACCGACTGTCTGAGTCCGTTTCTGTGATTATTGTTTGAAACCGCGTTGGAATGAGAGATGTTTTTCTAATGCTTTTCGTAGACACATTTTCATTACAGCAATCAATTTTTCGTAAAATCCTTCTTTCCATGGGGATAATGGTGTTATGAATTTCCACTGAATTTGTTTCTTGCATGAAAATTCATTTTTTAAAGTGTACTGTTGCTGTTGCTTTATAGTTTTCCGTTTCGTTAGGGTTAGGCCAGACTGTACGGCGTACGCGACGTACGCAGCTTACGCCGCGTATGCTTTTATGATGAAATATACCGAGCGTACGCTGCGTACGCCGCGTACGCCGCTTCCCCGCGAAGTCTGGCTCAACCCTTAGTGATGATTCTTGTCCTAATTTGAAATTAGTTGCGTTATCTGTTATAATTGTTGATGGGACTCCGCGTCTTGCTATTACTCGTCGAAATCCATTTACTAATGCTTCAGAACTCAAATTTTCTACGATTTCTAGGTGAACGGCTCTTGTTGCCATGCAGAAAAACAAACATACCCATTGCTTTGTCACTTCTGAAGAGGCACGCAGCAAAAATGGTCCGACAAGATCGATTCCTACATGATCGAAAGGATGAGATGGTACCACTCTACTTCGTGGTATTGGACTAGCGGGATAGAAGTAAGGTTTGCCGTTCCACTTTTTGCATTTTATGCAATTTTTGAGTTTCGTACTACCATTCTTCCCTTTGGGATCCAATATTTTGTTCTTGAGTTTGCTAATGTTCCATTTACTCCTTGATGACCAACATCTTTATGATATTCGCGTGCAATCTGCTCTGTGACTGTGTGGTTGGGTGGAAGAAATATCGGGTTGTTTGTTTCTATACATAACTTGGACTGTTGTATGCGGCCATAACATCTCAATATACCATCCTCGTCCTTCAACAAATTCAAATGAGAGTATTTATCGATTGCTTGTGATTGCAGTTTTTGTGTCAACTTGATGAGCTGTTTTTCAGCACGTCGCATGTCAGCTGAAGATGCAATGTGCAATGGAGGTTCCAGGGATACGCCGGTTATTTTAGGTATGTACTTTTGGAAATGCTCTTGTCTTTCCTTGTTTATTTTGATATAAATACGTAGTTTGAGAAATTTTGATACTAGTGTCATGACTCTTTTGCTTCGATACCACGAACGTGCGTATAACTACTGGAGTTGTGTTTTGTTTATCAAACTCTTTTGCTGCAACTAATATTGGTATATGGTCAGGATGCTCATGTGTGCCTTGCTCTAGAATCCAATTTCTTTCGAGTTCTTTTTTCTTCGTTTCTTTTATTTCCTCAGGGAAGTATGTAGTATGCTTCCATGTTTGCTGAGCTTGACTCAGGAACGCGGGTCCTTTCCACCATATAGTATGTTTAGTAAAATCATTGGATCTAACCCCCCGCGTTGCGCAGTCTGCCGGATTTTCATTTGTGGGAATATATACCAACTGACATGTGGTTGACTTCATATCTAGCTCTGATATAATCTAGTTTATGGTAGTGACGCGATTTTCAAAAAAGGTGCTCGTTCTCTTGTGGTTTTTCATCCATTGTAAAACTAATTGAGAGTCGCTGAAAACGAAAACTTCTTCAATGGTTATGTGCAATTCCCTCCAAACGAAATGTGTTAGTTGCTTGCCTAATTGGAGTGCTAATAGTTCTAATCTTGGAATTGTGAAGTTTGATCGTTTTATTTTGAGCTTTTTCGGTGCAAGTCAATTGCGTGCGGCAACAATCTGTGAGCTAACCTCTCCATAATCTTCCACTGTTCTCAAATAGGTGCAGGCTGCAAAACATCTGAGAGAGGCATCGACAAATGTATGTAATTGATATTTATCATTCGTTTGGCGGACTACTACCTGTTTTGGAAAGCTTATTGTAAAGTTCTCACCTTGCGAGCATATTTCTTTCCAATGCACATCATCGGTAGATGATAATGGTGAGTCCCACGCGTAGTTCTGTTCCCATAGATCTTGCAAGAATAACTTTGCTGGTAGTAGTATTGGCGCTAGTAGCCCTAACGGATCAATTGTACTTTGAGTTGGTTCTCAGAACTGTAGGTTTTGTCGGATTAGAGTTATAGTGCAATTTTGATTGCACTGAAAACTGATCGGTTTTTGGTTTCTATAAAATTCCTAAAATTTTGTGTTCATTATATTGTACCAGGTCTTTCTTTGGTATTGCTGCGTTACACTCTTCGTCATTGGTCATATTCTCTCAAGTTCATTGCCATATCTTGAAACAACTTCTTGCTCAACTTGTACTTGTTGATTAGCTCCTGTGGCTTTTCCGCGGCCAAAAGGGCATTGTCTAATACAGGTTGCGCACTAGTTCTGTTGAAACTTCGGTGTCTTTGCTGTGTTTGAGTGAGTAATGGATAGACATTGCAAGCAGATATGGCGACGCATTGATTCCGAATGCTAACCTTCTACACCTCATAATTTCGATGTTGTCCGGCGTAGGAGGCTGCGAAGTGTCAGTCAGCCAAAGAAATCTCACCGCGTCTTGATCGAGCTTATTGAGGTAAATGGTGTGGAAAGCTTTCTCTACATCTGCTATGAGAATTTTGTTGCCCACCCTTGCCCGAAGAATAATTCCGGTCAAGTTGGGTAAGAGAAGTGGTCCTTGATGTACCACGTCATTGAGGCTCAATTGGCCTTTGCATTTGGATGATGGTTAAAAACTATTCTAAGTTTAGTTGTGTGACTACTAGGTTTCAGTACCGCTTGGTGCGGAATATAGTATGTTGGGTTTGCACGGGGATTTCCTTTCTTCACTTTTTTAATGATAGCATTATTCAGTTGGTCACGGATTATCTTGCAATATTCTTTCCAAAGTCTTGGATTTCGATGGGCTAACTTGTATTGTTGATGTAGCAGCCTACTCAGTGCAAGTTTGTAGTTGTTCGCCAACTTATCTAGTTGCTTTCCATGGCAGGCAGACGTATATCGTTTTATCGTGAATTTCTATAGTTTTGTAAAAATTTTCTATCATTTTTTCAGTTTCTTCTTGTTCCGAGAGAGAGTTGGTAATTCCTATGCTCTCCAAACCATACATATTGGAGTAATCGAGTTTATCTTCCATTCTGAGAAAAGCGCATGTTGTTCCTTGTATGTATCAGGCTTTGCATGTGAGTGCTTTCCTGAGATTGTGTATCCAAAAAACGTCAGGCTCAAGTAGAGACCTAAAGGAAGCCTTATTGGTTGCTGGTTGGCAATGAATATATCACTGAAGTAATCTATACCAAGCAAAATGCTTGGCTGGATGTATTGTCACTATTGAACCTTGCGTTGTCAATCGGTAATTGTCTTCGTATGTAAGCGAGATCTTCCATAGTGAGATCGCAGAAGTTGAGTCGATCTGTGATTTGATCCTGTGTTAATAAAGAGACATTCAAGGTGTCTCCATGATGGTGGATGAACGTTGTGCTTACGAGCTTCGTGCTCTTTCGTTCTGTGTGACCCCCAAACGTAGAGACAACTATGGTTTGTTCGAAAAGAATTGACAAATTAAGTCTCTTGGTTACCTCTATTGTGTGAAAGAGGAATCCGAAGCGGAGTCAATTAAAGCTGTTAGATTTTCCAATTTCCCTGTCACTTTGTTTCGTACGTACACTGGCACCGTCAACAGCCTAGTACATGATGGACAATCTGAAACTCTCAAAGCTGGAGTTGATGAAATTTTGTCTTGAACGAATGCGCCGGAATTGTGTTTTGAATTGATATCTAGTAAAGGGTCTTCGTCAGCTTCAAACCTTTGTATTGCAGCGTCTTCAGTGACGCCCGCGTAATTGATGAATGTGATCCTTCTTTGCAGTAGCGAGTCAGTGATTATAAGAAGGCCTACTAGAGCTTCTGCTTCTGTCTCTGTAGATAGTCGGTAATGTGTTTTTCATTTCTGGTCGTGCTGGAGATGCACTTCGTGACCTTGTCTGGTAGTTATTACGATGATCTCGAAACGGCCGTGCAAAATGTCTCCTAGGAGATTTATTCTGTCTGAATGTTGGTGATCTTAAAGTTCCTGGGGTAAACTGATTCTTTTGAGCTAGACTATCTTCTTGTTGTCTTCTAAAGGAGGTTCTTGTTGGGGATTTCAGTCTCTGCGTGGTTTTCTCCCGCCAGCTGCAAGAAGTGTCATTGTAGCACAATAAAGGATGATGGTTACCATTGCAGTATTGACATTTTGGCCTGTGGCATAAGGTGAGCTTGATGACGCTTGCTGAAGCAGATCAGACAAGCATTCAACTGCCATAATCTGTTTGGTTTTTCGTTGCGTGTTTTGTATCTAGTACAGTCTATGAATCTATGTGATCCGCCACATCCTGTACGTTTATTGACGGTGGCCTTATTTGGATATGAAACGTTGATGTTTCACTTGATTCCGCAACGGTTTTTGGGAACTTGCTTGCAACCGTTTGCGGTAGATTAGTGCTGTCTACATCTTCTCCTGGTCTGCGCATCTCAGTGACCAATGTCAAGATATCGTTATAGGTATTTTGAAGTTGGCGTGGGTTATTGCCCACTTTTAGTAGTGATTGCAATTCTCGCAGAAGCATTGTTTTATTGCAACGTTCGTCTTGATATTGAGCTTTTAGCTCTTGGTTTGCTAATTCGTAGGATTTGGCGCTGCGCGGTATCATTTTTAGCGTTCGTTCAGTGTCGCCTTTACAGCATGCTAGCAGTATGGATAGTTTTTCCAAATCAGAGCGTGGTTGATTGTGTACCAATTTTTGAAATAGTTCCCAAAACGACTCGAATTCTGCTAGTTTGCCATAAAAATCGGGTACTCGTAATTTATGGCCATACAGATGACGCCAAGAATGGAAGTAGGTCGGTTGGTCTTCTCGGTTGGTCGTTATACCAGCAGTTGTTTGATTGCCTTGTGAAGGTGTCTGATTGATTCCCTTATGTTGATAATCTTCCATAGCTTGGAAAAGTGAAGTACAACGCTGACTTGTTTCTTGTATTGATGGTTTTGAACTCCGTTGTCGCACTGATGAAGCCTCTAGTGCCTGTTGTTGGCACTCTAATTCCACGATTCTGATCTCCAATTTTCGACGAGTTGAGACACTGATGCTAGGCTTTCGTCTGCCCTTTTGTTTTCCCAATAAGAATCGAAATCTTTTTCAAGATTCTCTCCATATTCTGTGTTAATTTAATAGGCTGGAAACTAAGTTTTGCAACTGGTCTCATAAGTTCCCTCTCACTGAACATGGCGCACTCAAATTTTGGCATTATGTAGGGAGTATTGTGTGCTATAAGCACGCGCAAACCGTTTGAATTTTGAACGCGAAATAGAAAATTTTCAGGCATTTTTCGAAAACTAGTGAAATTTGAGAATTTTTGGGGTTTCAAGCTAAAATGAAGCCTTTAGCAGCCTAGACCACGCGCAGTAATCCGGATTCCTCTACAAATTATTGCTGGAGGTTGACTCCTTTGGCCCAGTAAGAAAGAAACAAAATTTAGGGGCATGTCGAAATTTGGCGTTTTCACAAAGTCGAACGAGTCGATGTACGCAAGAGCTGCTGGGACGACCGCCAGTGACTAAAGAGTCGGAAGCTCAAATTCCGCCGAGACTCTACGCAGTAAGGTTATTTGACCTGCCAAACGCGAATATCATTTTCATTTGTTGAATCAATGCCTTTTTCCTTGTTTGAGGTGAGACCCCATATCGTACACCTACAGTAACCCTACAAAAAAGCCCTTATCACAAAATTTCACTATCGTTTTCGCAATCAGCATGTCGGATAACATTCCTATGCCAAGTTTCAGCCAAATCCGTCAAACTTTGAATTTTTCCCCTTCATACCATGCACCTACCGTAACCCTCACTGCGGCGCCAGGATTTGGTAGGACAGCAGCTGCGCTTGTAGCTTACGTAATAATCAACACAGTGGCAAAATTTGAGTGCGTCATGTTGAGTGAGAGGGAAGTTATGAGATCAGTTGCAAAACTTAGTTTCCAACCTAATACTTGAAGGCTTCCAGGACACGAGCTTGATTGCTATATTCAGCCATGATTTGGTCTTACATTGTTTTCATCTGATTTATTAGGTTTCTCAATATTGCTGTGTTTGCTAGTATTAATTGAAGCATGTTATCAGCATTGGTTAGGTATTGCCAAGGTTCTTTGAAAGTATTCGCTTCATCGATCATGTTGGCAAGCTCGTTGAGTTGCCTGGTCAAACGTTGCTTGCGAGATTTTATGTTGAACTCAGAAGTCAGTTTTCAGATACGATAGAGGAAGAAGATATCTCAAATGCGCAAGAGAATGTGTTCATCACTTTATATACGTATTGCTGTGTTTGGTTAGATAGTGGAGGTTGATAGCGCGCATTTGTTTTGTTTCTCATGCCGATCCAATAAACATTTTATGTTGATTTCTCATTCTTTTACTTTGAATATTTGCCTTGTTTATATATCTGTATCTGCCTGCCCGCTTTGTTCTGAGAGCTTGATGACTAGAGCCTACCTCAATGCGCCGTTTGTGTCGTTGTCTTTGCTAAAGACCAGATACAGATAGCGTTCTCCTACAATTTGTAAAACTTGTTTTGGCAATAAATTCAACACCAGTGAAAGTTGCGGATATCCTACATGGCAGTTATCTCAGGTTGCCTGCCCTAGACAATTATTTCGGGTTGTCCTCCCTAGGCAGTTATTTCAGGTTGCCTGCCATAGACAATTATTTCGGGTTGTCTTCCCTAGGCAGTTATTTCAGGTTGCCTGCCCTAGGCAATTATTTGCCTTTTTGGTTTGTTTTTGATGGAGGCTCCTTGATTTGATGATTTTAGCTTTGTAGCGCGATAGAGGAAAGCAGAATACGGGTAAAAGACTATTTGAGGTGAATGTGATCAGGCTTCACAACATTTCGGTCGCAATAAGAAAGAAAAAAGGAAAGAAAAGGAGAACAATAAGAGAAGAGAGAAGTACTTGACAATTCTTCGCGCACTTGTTTTTGAACTGATTTATTCATGAACCCGGCCAATGCACCATGTCTTGGCCAACGATAGTAACAGCCGGGTTCCAACGTTTATTGATTGACCAAGTGTATGTTAGAAAAGATATGATAGATTATAAGCAAGATAAATTTCTCCGCTTTCCGAGCCCTCGCTTTCCCAATCTACTTATTATAGAATTGGTTTTGAGTGGTGGAGCATTGCTTGTATTATCTTCCAATTTGTAAGTAGTTGTCTTTCTCTACCCATAATTTTGATTGAGGTCCATTGGCAGGCGTCTTTTGGAATTGACATTCGTTTATGCAGGTTACCACAAAAGGAAGTGGAGGAAGGGGGGGGAGGAGGGGAAAGGGGGAGGGAGGGTCGTATAGATGGGTACCTTTAGAGGGGGTGGGGTCGTAAAGAGGGTCCCGGATCGCATCAGCACGCTTGACCCTGATTGTATGTTGAAATGAGCTATAATAATACCTAGCCAAACAAAACAGGTAAAGTTTTGAACCTTTCATATTATATTGCATCATGACAATATCAAAAGAAATTTGCAAACTAACCAGTCTTCTTTTCAGAATATGATGCGTCATTTTGTTGCGTTTACATTGCTGCTATTCGTTTTGGAAATCTCAGTCGAGGCGAGCAAGAACGAAGTCTTTGCTCCTGCAGATCTTTGCTTCGTCCATACTCCTCGTACATGCAAAGCACACTGCTTGGAAAGTGTATGCTGCTTATTTACTGCCTGTGTACTCATCTATTCGAATAATCAATTTGAGTTCAGAACTGCCAAAACGGACGCTGCAAATTTGTAGAAGTGCAAGGAGGACATTTCCTCGCATTGCGATGTGTCTGTGAGGATTGTCCCGGTGATCAACAGAGGAAGGAACAGCTTCATTGAACAGATGCACGTCTTTTGAGCTTTTTGCGCAAACCACCATTTTGAATTTATTATGATGCGATTTAGTCAATGTTTCCACCACACAACGATATTATTCAAGTTATCAGCAATATTCACATTTTAAAAATGTACGAGAGAAAAGCTGGTATACTTTTATTTATTTTACCATGCTGACACAAGTCTGTTCTTGGCCCCACTGTCAAATGTTCAAAATTAGTAGATTCATGGAAGTGCACGATGAATTACCAACTGAAAAACACACATTTGCGATCTCCGCGTCAGCCTGTCCCTTGTCAGCATTATACCTGGTGCACGTTTGACCGCGTGTATACGTATGCACGCCGGCATAATACGTATGTACACTAGTTTTTCATGCGTAAAAAAAGTGCTAAGGTAACATACGGTCATCGCGGTAGCTCTACAAAAGTTTAGAACGCAAGTTTAGCTATCAAAATATGTCAATTATGCTTTGCTGAGAAACTGCTAGAAATTGTACAAGTGTTCTGAGAGCAATCATAGATGAACTTATGCAAAAAGAATTCAATATTATGACGCCTTCCTCAGAAAGAGACTCTCACACATAGCCATTGCATAGTTTATTGAGGGAGGAGATGCAGAAATTTTTGTGCATGTAATTCCTGATAGGACCTTGTAAGATACAACTAATTTTAGAAATAATAGTTTGCATGTTTTATACAGGCGTCAAAAAGATTTCCACATAATGATTTTGTGCATACGCAGCATATGCACAAAAACATTATATGAGAGTTTTTTGACATTTATTCATAAAACATATCAGTTTTTTTTTCAAAATTACTTGGATCACGGAACATAGGGAGGGGTCATCAATCTATTGAGTAGATCGGGCCAAATTGCAATCACGCATCTTAAAAAATCTGCTTGAAAGTAGATAGAAATACTTGAAACGCAGATAACTCGCATTCAGATTATTTAGTGGTAAGTTACGGTCAAACCCGTGATTGTCTTCGGAATTGCTTCCCTTCAATTATCCACAAAAGAATGTCTGCATAGACAGAACTTGTTATAGTGTGACACACCACGAGTAGTACCAACGTTAACTTTGTTCATACAACTGTTGGTCAAGCCTTTTTACCAAAAGTCTATGAAAGCTTTTTGCTACAACATTAATGAGTATCACCGCCATAGCGCTCTATTTTGGATCATGACCAAGAAATGCTAGAAAATTCTTGCGTTATCCTAAGTCATGAAATTGGATTGCATGGAAGCAAGTCTTTTTAACACGTTTTGGACCGGTGCTGCACATGGTGCAGCACGCTGCTTTGAAGGATCTTTTTGACGTTTACAGGAGATTTTCTTTTAGTCTAAGGTTATCAAGTCGAAGGCCTAAGCTTCTACTTTTCAAATGACTCTGTAGAGTTGTGCCGCCAATAATTGTTTAGAAGATATGAGAACAAATCGAACAACAGTTGCAACGAAGTGCGACAACGCGAACGACGCGTGCGTAATTGAAGCAGGATATTGCAATAACGGAACATTAGAAACTGATATTTCTCAAAATAATTAGCCTTATCTTGTGTTTGTAAAGTAGGTGAATTTCCAGATTTTCAAAGTTGTTGTTAGTAAACATTTTAGCCTCAGTATCTTGCACCTAACACAGAGCAGATTCAAGCAAAAATAGCATGGATGAAGGAGCAGGGTACTTCTTTTGCAAAAGTATTCGCAATTCATTCAACCTCAAATTATCATCCTCAGACTCAACATTTCGCCCAAGTTGCATTAGGCAAAAAGTTATACTTTCTGCGTATAGTTAACACGAGCATAAATAACCACTTGTAAAATGTCTGGTAGTTGGACTGAACGACAACAACTTTGTTTAGCCTGCATTGAGAGTATGACTATTGATGCGCTATGCACGGAGTTTCAAAAAAATGTGAACACTGTTTGATCGTTAATAACTCTCTTGCTTTCAAGTCTTTCGCCAAATTTGGGGGAGCTTGAGGTATTAATTCTGTAGAGCGAGGTTCAACTTAGATAAAAAGTATGACCAAGTCATCAATCACTCTTTATTATTGTAGGATTACGGTAGAACTTTGAGAAGGATTTCGGGAAAGTGAAAGCGATTTTTGCGTAGGAAAGAAAACCGAAAGTCAAAAATCTTGTACTGGACCATACAAAGCCGCTAAACCTAAACATCAGCTTCCATGAGTTATTTCAGGTTTAGGGAAACATCCGTTTTTCCAGTGTTCGTCAGAAATGTGATTATACCATTAAAATAGCTGAGGAAACTGGTGGAAAGTTTTTATTGAAATCCGCACGCCTGAAAACCTTACTACACAGACCAGTTTTTTTGGAATTTTCTTCCATTAAATGGCCTATTTCATAGGGCTTTCATAGGGCTTTTGCGCTTTATGCTGGTTTCATACCGTAATCCTACATTAATAGAGAGTAACTGATAATCCCAGACTGCTTATCTATGTAAGTTGAACCTCGTTCTACAGAGTGATACCTGAAGTTCGCCGAAAGACGTGAAAGCAATAGATCTATTAACGATCAAGCAGCCGTTCACATTTTTCTTTTGGGACGCCCTATATAATTACGTGATTCTCAAAAGAGACGAGATTAGTTCAAAACGACAGTTTGCTTCGGGAATAACATCAAAAATGAAGTTGAGCAAAAACTCTCATCATGTCAGCTTCAAACGTTCAATGCCATCTTTCAATGCCATTTTTCTACATATGACATCGCAGAATCTACATGCCACAAAATTAGAAGTTCTCAGCGCCAAACATGTGACATCGCCTGATATCTTAGTAAGCACAAAGCTTCTTATATCAACGATTCCAAGCGCTTAACATCATTGTTTTGATGAAAAGCTGGTACGATAGCACTGATAGTTTCTATTCGCTCAATTGGCAAAGATAATGGTTCTAGTGAAGGATGTACCAATTTGATAACGAAAACATCCGCGCTAATAAATGATGCGAATTGCTATTGGCGGAGTCATTCTCAGTCTTTGTCCGTGCACTTCTTCACGCTTTTGAGTTAATCCTCTTTCCGTACATTGATCAGCTGCATTTCTCAAACCAACCCAATATGCAATAAGGCTGGATTGGTATTGATTTTCTGGCAACAGAAACGCAAAGCAAAGTTCAAGAACTAAATAAAAAAGCAATTTCTGCTTCGGAAGAAATAATAATACGTTAACTAGACATTCGCAGGAGATCTCTCTATGCTTCCCGATCTCCAAACTCTGGCTCGTGCCTGCATTTAGCCTTAAAGGTGAAAGCAATTCTGCAAAATTCGTGAAAGTATCTCAGAAAGAATTGAAAACTGCGCCATTATTTGTTTATTTGGTAGCTATTGCAGTGATACTTAAAATCTTTGCAAATTTAGATTAGTCTTGTAAATGAATTTTCTTCCAAGGTGATCAAAAACTGCGCCAGCCATTCTCTCAAGAAAAATCAGAACGGGTCGGCTGATGCAGAATCACGCATTCTGAACATTCTTATTGCCTAAAAACTGGTGTTTGGGAAGCTGGCCTAACAAAGAAGCATCATACAATACCGTATTTTTTTTTGAAAAGTGACGCACAGTCTCCCGATTCATGTGACGTCACCGTCGCATGTCTATATCTCGCTTGTGTGGACGAATTCTTGACCCAAGGGCACCACTCGACTCAGCGGCGTGCGGCGCATCTTCTAATATACAGAAGTGTCGCCTGGACACAGTAGGGCCAGATTCTAGGTATCGTTTGAGATTTTTGCGTACAGTAGGTTACTTGGTGCGCTTATTCATTGCACTCACTGGGCAACCTACCGTGAGCAAAAAATTGGAACGAATTGTAAAATTGGGCCTCCTATGTTCAAGCTGGTACTTCTCTATCTTAGAAGATGTGCCGCGCTGAGCTGAGTCGAATGGTGCCGGGGCCCTTTGAATTAAAAATTTTTCCACTTTGAGGCGAGATATGGCGATATCACGTATGTCGGGCGATTCTGCGTCGTTTTCTCCAAAACATTCGAGCGGTATTGTATGTTGAAATGAGCAATAATAATGCCTAGCCAAACAAAACAGGTAAAGTTTTGAATCTTTCTTGTTAGATTGCACTATATCAATATCAAATGAAATTTGCAAACTAATCATTCTTCTTTTTTTAGAAAATGATGCGTCATTTTGTTGCATTTTCACTGCTGTTATTCGTTTTGGAAACCTCAGTCGAGGCCACTTTGTTGGTGCCGAACCGTGACCATTCCTTCGTTTTTATCAGTGATTCTGCGTGCAGAGCACGTTGCTTGAAAGAATTAGTAAGCCTATTTACTCATCTATTCGAATCATCAATTTAAGAACTGATTCATTGAATTGAAATTCAGAATTGCCAAAACGGACACTGCAAAAAAGTAACCAACGACAAAATTTTCGGCATCCGATGTGTCTGTGAGGATTGTCCCAGTGGTCAAAAGACGAAAATAGTGCCTGTACCGATTCCCGTTTTGCACTTCCCCTTTTGAGCTTTTTGCACGAAATACCAGTATGAAGTTATTATGATGCGAAGTCAATGTTTTCAATACACAACGATATTATTCAAGTTATCAGCAATTTCCATATTTTAACAATGTACGAGGGAATAGCTGGTATATGCTTATCTTACCATGCTAACATAATTCTATTCTTCGTCTTACTGTCAAATGTTCAAAATTAGTAGATTCATGGAAGTGCACTATGAATTACCAATCGAAAAACACATTTGCGATTCCTCGCCAGCCTGTCCACTGTCAGCATTATACCTCACGTCGATGACCGCTTGCATACGCGCGTATGCACGCCGGAGCTCCCACTTAGCACTCTCGTGCATAAGACGTATGCACACTAGTTTTTCAGGTGTAAAAAAGTGCCAAGGTAACATATGCAGTAGTAATACTGGGTTGCCCTATTGTCATATAGAGTCATCGCGGTAGCTAGAACGCAAGTTTAGCTATCAAAATATGTCAATTGTGTTTTATTGACAAGGGAAGCATATTTGGCCGAAGTGGAGTTTCCATATTAAATGTACAGTGTATTATAGCTCATGGAACGCTGACGAATCTGTGTTATCTGCAAAGCTTTTCTGGGAAGGGAATAATGGGAGTGTTTTTATAAAAAATTCAAGAGCTTGGCTGAGGTAAAAACAGGCGTTGAGTCTTACCAATGCTTGAAGGAAGTAATGACGGCATAAATTTTTGAAACATAATTTGCATGTTTTATGAACAAGCGTCAAAAAGGCTTCCACATAATTATTTTGTGCATACGCGCGTATGCTCGAAATCATTATATGGAAGTTTTCTTGACAATTTAAAAAACACGCACGGTTTTTTGTCAGAATCACTTGAATCACAGAACAGTGGCAGGGATGTCATCAATCTGTTAAGTGGATCGGGCCAGAATGCAATTACGCTCTTCAAAAATTTGCTTACAAGTAGAAAGAAACACTTGAAACGCAGATAACTTGCAATTAGATTATTTAGTGGAAAGTTTACAGTCAAACCCATGATTGTCTTCGGAATTGCTTTATCTTCAATTGTCCACAAAAATTGAATGTCTGCATGGACAGAACTTGTCAAAGTAACGCATCGCGTGTATAGTTGTCCTCCCCCCACTAGACACCTAGTGGACGAATTCGAATTTGAAGTAGAGCACGCCGTATGCGGCAGAGCGCGGTACCTGCAGCCCTCACTTTGATCTCAGACAGACGTTTTTGTGTTTTCGGAACGTTTCATCCTATTATTTGAATGTTAGCAGTCTTCTTAACTGGATTGTAGACTTTGTTAGTCTTGAGTGATGTTTCCTGCTACTATGCTCGTTATTTGAGTTCTGATTTCAAATTTAGCTGAAATAAAAACCGAAGAAGCGAGCATAGTAGCAGGAAACATCGCTAAGCAGCAACAATTTCGTCGATTTTGATTACAAACATCACTGAAACAAAAAATCACCATGCAACGACGATGAAACACCAAAGAATATTGGATGAGGTTGAACTGGAGTTGACAATGCCGCGCTCTGCCGCAATCGGCGTGCTCTAGTTCAAATTCGAATCCATCCACTAGGTGTCTAGTGGGGGGAGGACGACTATAGTACCAACGTTGACTTTGTTCATATAACTGTTGGTCAAGCCTATTTACCAAAAGTCCCCGTTGGTGAGTTGACAAAAGCTATCTACACAAAATTGCTCTGCTTATTTTAGTTTTCCTTAATGACCCGATCAAAAATGCAATGGTTTATGTTATTTGAAAAACAAAATATTGTTACTCGCTACTGAACATTGGCTGAAATAAAGCCTAAGAGATGTTTTCGCAGTACTTTACTATCTACGGGAGCTTTCTGAAACAACACTAGGACAAGTATCACCTCCATAGCGCTTCATTTCGGATCATGACCAAGAAATGCTAGAAAATTCTTGTGTTATCCCAGGTAATGAAATTGGATTGCATGCATGGACCCAATTCTTTTCAAGTGTGGCTAATCTGAGAATCGTCATGGTTTGCCTACAAAATAATACATTCTCTAATGTTGTTCCACTGCGGAGATCAAACGTTTTTGTCCTCGCTCACTTCGAGAAACACACGATTTTGTGTCATTTAGAGTGTGCGCATAGCATACGCGTTACGTAAAAAAGAAGTTTACTTTATGAGCTATTAGGCAGTGTTTTCCTGCAATTACAAGGGAATGGTTAGAAGTCGAAGTGGCCAAACCCAGAGTAGCTGTATATCATTCGATGCAGTATAAAAGCTGACTTTGAATCTATCTTCCTTATCTGCTTCCCGCTTCTGTGGACAATGCTACAAGCGGTTTTATTGTGAAAAAATCATACATAAAAACAGCAAAGTTGAGCACATTTTTGCACTTTTAGCTCAGCTTCTGGCTTTAGAAATTTGAGGTAAACTAGCTGCATGTTTTGGCCCAGCATTAAGGCGAACGCGGCTCTGTAAGGCTAAATTTTCAATTTCACGCATAATTTCTGAGCAAAATAATGGTCTTCAATAGCTTATAACTTCGTCTAGAAAAGCGATAAGCAGAGAGAGAAAACAGATTTAGAGTCAGCAAGTTTCTTACATGAGTTATAAAAATGTGCAAATGACTTGTTTATTTTTGTAAACAATTAATATAGCCTTACAAAAACAATTTTTTCGGGGGCGTGGCTGATGCCACGCCCCTTTTTTCCAGATTTTACGGGCTGGGAACCCTCAAAAATCTTGAGAAGCCCCCCTAAAATTTTTTCGGAGTGCGTGGCTCACGCCACGCACCTTTATTAAAAAAAAATTTTGCCCCCCCCCCCGAGCCGAAATCCTGGGTACGCCACTGACCGAAAGTGATACATTTTTATGACTTCTTTTTCTTTTATTGAAAAAATTGTGTTGAAAATGTCTCTTTCTGAATATATTAGGTAATCTTATGAATAGTTTCCGCGGCTTCGATAGGAAACAAAGTTTATGGTGGAAGAACTCAGAGACTTTTCCTCAAACTTTGCATGATTGATAAATATTCGTTGTCCATTTTGTGCCATAGAAAATTGGAATGGGGTGGAGTTTTTTTGCTTTGTGTAGGTCACAAAAACAAAAAAGGTTAGTCCCGCATTGCAGCTGTACGCAGCTGAATGATTCGGACCCCTCCTGCTTTCCAATTTTTGGAAAAAAAAAACTCAGTGGAAGCAAAAATGTAGGTATAAGCAGAACCTGAAACTTCATTCAGCGTTTTTTACTGACTCATGTCTATAATGAAACCTACACGCCATTTGTAAACGTCAGAAAACTCAGAAGTCCGTGCTTTTGGTATTCACAATCTCTTCATGCTGCATGTGAGTGGTTCATGACACGACATTTACAAATCCACTCGCAATGACAGAAAAGGAGAAATCCTTTTGTTTAAGCACTTAAAGGTTGACCATTTAGTTTTCCCTTTCAACTAACCTGGGACCATCGAATCAACAAAAAAAATATTTCTTTCCGTTTACTTGATTTTGTGTAAAAAGGAGGAAAAGATGGAGAAGAGTCATTTAGTCGTTATGGGTGGTAGTAGTCTATGTCTGATAGCTTGTCAAATTGATGTGAAGATGGCACTCAGATTGATAAGAGAAACTTGCAACCATTCAAGTTCTGCACAACGCTGCCATTGTACAAAAAGAACTATGGAGTTGGAAGTTTTCACTCTGAAGGACTGAAAGTCAATGGAAAGTTTTGGAAGCTTATATCAAAAACATCTAAAGCATCTAGCAGTGCTAGATTCATTGTGAGGTTTAGACTGCAGAAAAGCTCTGCCGCTCGCGTACTCCTAAGAGCTATGTTGGAACCAAAAGTTCTGACAGTCCCTTCAGATTTGAACATTTTAAACCGTTCTTTTCCCAACCTACATGTACTTCCAAACTCGCATTTCGCAAAAGCAAAAGTAGTATGTAAATTTTTTCAGCGCCTATCAATGATAGCTAGGACGATGACTTCGGAACAATTTTGTTGACTCAGTAGACCGTCGTGAGCCACTCTCGCACTAAATAGCAGACTTCTGTCTAAGCGCTTGCATAATTGTTGAGACCAAAACCGGCTCATATCGCGCAGCATAGACTGCTATTTTTTTTTGCGAGCAAAGCAGCCTTGTCTTGGAATGAAGGAAAGATGTCTAAAGTTCCTTTTATTTTATTGAAAATTGAAACTGCTCTAAATGTCGATCCTTTCCTTTTGACACATGAGTTTTCTTTATGATAAAGCACGCTATAATTCATGATCCTTACTTTTCCTCACAAGTGGTGTTACGGTCTAATAAGCCAGCTCTAAAAAAGACTTAGTCACTGATAATTGAATTTTAAGACGCTTTCGAAGTTTACTGGCGTTCGGTGCATTTATTCAGTAAATTTTCTTGAAGTTTAAGACTTTTAGAAAGATTATCGAAACCATCAAAGCCGGTTAGAAAATGAGAAACAATCATGGCTTTGTCAAGCACGAGACATGGTGCTGCTTTTTTTTGAGAACTTGTGCATATTTAGGGATATAATATATGACTCACATTTTGTCTCGTATCTTTGTGCCGGTACAGATAATTTAGTTATGGGGAGGGGAGGGGGGTAGGGGGTATGGTGACAGCTATTTGAGGGGTGCATCAGCCACAGTCCGCAAAGATTTTGGGATGCATTCTGAAATTTTTGCAGAACCCTGCTCCGAGACTTCAAGGAAAGGAACCGTAGCGGCGACAAAAAGTCCTTCAAAATTTCACAAGGCTGACTTGGATTTTGAGAAATTCTGGGATTTATGCAAAAACAAGACAATTAATTTTGTAACTCACCCAAGCTTTCCAAAAATTTTACGATTGTGGAGTAGCCTTGAACCTTTGTGAACCTTTGTGAACCGTCTCGCTATGTATATGTCATTATGTTTCGCAATGCCTCGCACTGTATCCAAGATTTGTAATTCAAGTCGTAAAGAAAAACACTCTTTGTGAACCATAAATGGGCAATAACAATATGACAAACAGCAAAACTGACAGCCAC